CTCCCTTACTCAGTTGAGGATGTTAAAACAATGACAAACAAATGCCCAATGTGTGCAGAGATTAAACCTCGTTTCTACAAAACTACAAATGCTCACCTTATCAAGGCCACAAAACCTTTTGAGCGACTAAATGTAGATTTTAAGGGTCCTTTGCCATCTTGCACACGTAATCGATATCTATTGACTATAATCGATGAATATTCACACTTCCCTTTTGCATATCCCTGCAGTGATATGTCCTCAAGCACAGTAGTTCGCTGTTTAGAAAATCTATTTTCAATATTTGGAATGCCAAACTACATTCATTCAGACGGAGGGACATCTTTTCTTTCAAAAGAACTCAGAGACTACCTTCATGAAAGAGGGATAGCCACCAGTCAAACGACTCCATATAATCCGGCAGGGAATGGCTAAGTTGAAAAGTTCAATGGAACATTGTGGAAAGCAATCTTGTTAGCTCTGAAGTCCAGGTCACTAAAGGTAGAACAATGGGAAGATGTACTCAATGATGCATTGCACTCCATAAGATCTCTTTTGTGCACTTCGACTAACAGTACGCCACATGAAAGGTTTTTCATTCATCCTCGGCGATCCCTCAATGGCACCTCACTGCCAGCTTGGCTCATGAAACCAGGACTGATATTCTTAAAAAGAAATGTTCGGCCATCAAAATTTGATCCTTTAGTTGAGGAAGTAGGGCTGATAGATGCTAACCCTCATTATGCCTTGGTTAAACACAATGATGGAAGTCAACTGTATCCCTCAAGCACCTTTCTCCAAGGGGGGGGTGTAAGTCTACTAGAAGACCAAGTCCTTCCAACGCTAAAAGAAAATCCTCAACTGGTGACAGATGAATCACAACCACATGTCATTCCAGAGCCGGGCATTAATCCAGATCCAAATGTCAATCCAGAACAGAATGTCACTCCATTTGATATCCAAGACCATGAATATCAACCAAATGATGATTATCAACCGAACTTCATTCCTGAACAAGACTCTGAAGAAAACCAACCTCTAGAAAGGCCGAAAAGATCAAGAAAACCACCAAGTTACCTCGCTGATTACATTGTTTAAATTTTGAGGGGGTGAATGTTATGAATTACTGTTTTTAGTAATCAGCTGAAGTATTTATTTACTTGTTGTTTGTATTAGAGATTTGTTTACCTTGACAACTATGTAACAATTTAAGTTTATTAAAGCCTTATTTTCTAAAAAGGTTCAGTTATTCACAACAAATGTTACTGCTTTCTGGAGAATCAGATATTTTTATCAAACAAAAAAATCTGATTTAATATGCTGATAGAATTCTGTATTTTTATGACCAAAGATGAAGATTACTTATAAATCCGGATACAATCTGAATGATTTTCCTAAAGCAGATTGAATTAGTGGTTAGTAATAAATATTGACTCTTTCCGTAACATTATAGACTAATTATATGAACTCATTCTCCCATATAGTGAAAGTGGCTTTGGTATGAAAAACAAACTCATGAACAAACAATTATAAGACTCCTAAAAACCTTTTGGGCAACCTAAAGCCGATAAAAAGGTAGGAAATATTGTGTTAAACGAATTCATCAATCACGTTTTTTAGGGAACGCAATCGTCATACTTATTATGACGATTACTTAATGATTACTTATGATTATTGCTTATCCTCCCTCTATTTAACTAAGATTCTAATGACTTCACTCTATCCATCGCAGTTAGCTGAATTTACATAAAACCTCAAGATTAACCGTCGATTTCGACGGGGTTCCACTAGTTTATTTTGTAAATTTAAAGTATCCAAATTGTAAAAATTTACTTATTTAGCGATTATTAACTTAATAATGTTTGTTCCTATCAAAAATTATTCCCTTTAATGCAAAATAAACCAAGTCATATTTTGAGTTTAAAATCTTATAAATCTTCTTTTGCCATTTTTCTCGAAAGTTGGCCAAGTGTGACTTGCAACATTTGTGAACTAAACCATCGAAATAATACATATTTATTCCCTATTTAAATACACATTAGATTTAACGAGTGCTTAGGTTTGCTGCTACGGGGAAGGTAAAAAGTGTTTTTTTTACCATATGTCAATAGTATAGGATGACATAAATAAATTTGCCAAATTTTATCAATATATATCCATAAACAAGTAAACTACAACAATTTTCATTTTCTCCATTAGAATTTAAAATTACACTATTTTTGAATTTTCTCCGTGACCGCTAGGCTTACAACAGCGCTTCAATATACTAAATTATTTCTTTTTTTAAGCTCTACAAAAAAGTCTAAAAAGAAATTGCAATTTTTTTTGTTTTTAGGGTCAAAAATGGGATAACCCCATTTTTACCCCATAAACCCCCTTTCCCATGGTCCCATTCTGCTGGATAGCGAACTCGTTTGAATAATACATAATACATATTTATTCCCTATTTAAATACACATTAGATTTAACGAGTGCTTAGGTTTGCTGCTACGGGGAAGGTAAACGTAGGTTTACACGTTTGTACCAAATTTTCAATCAGAACATTTACCATAGCTGACCCCCATCTATTTGAATGTAAAATTATGCTATTTTGTTCCTCATATTATTCCTGTACGTAAGATAATCCAGAATGCCATATTAAAATTGCAGACACTTTATAGTTTCACATACAGCTACCATTTTATATTTATTTTCTCTAACAAATTTTAATTTGAGAACATAGCTAAAAAGGTGTCTTTAGTACATAGCTTTCAGTCAAAGATCCAAATTTCAAATTACAGTATTACAATAAGCTGATATCAAAATAAAAATTGTTAGGTGAAAAAATATGCGGCTGTACAGGTAACTATCAAGTTTTTATATTTAAAAAATGATATTCTGGTTTAGCTATGGTACTGGAATAATACCTGAAAATGTTGGTGAAGAATTGCGGGACACACCCTGCATGTTTTTAAATACCTTGGTTTATAAATGTCCAATATTAAAAACATAATTTACCTAACTAAAAAATCTGATACAAATTTACCAAGCACAATACTTAATATGTGACAATGTTACTATTTTAGGTTCAAAATTACCAATGTTAGTTCAAACTTTGAAAGCCAGGCAATACAATTTTAATAAGGTTTGTTGAGGAAAAGAAAGTATAAGACAGTTGAATCCTTGGTGTACAAACTTTATTAAGATATAGCTCCGAAGCCGGGTATGAGAATGAACGAAGACAATTCCATGCATACGAATAAGTCTTCTTAATGGTAATAATTCTATTCTTTCTACAGAGAATCAGTTTCCAGCAAGCAGTTTTGATTTTGCTTAAGCCCTAAGTTTTAGATAATATTATACTTGACCTGTCTAACAATATAATGCTGATCAGTTAATAAATTATAAAAAAAATTAAATTTAAACACTGGATCTCTTGATGATACCGGTAAGCTGATTTGACTGAAACAAACGTCTTGCAATAAATAAGTAAAAAAAGGAGATCAGCTTGAGAATTTTAAAATGGAGCAGGCATTCAAATTCAAAATCTACATTGAAACAATCCAAATTTTCAAGTAGCATTTGTAATCTAGATGTATTGATCTTGTAGTACTTAATCGAAATAACACATTACATAGTAGCGGTGTAGACCAATGGTGCGGGGGCAACAAGGGAAATGACTAGCACTGGTGAAATTAAAAATGACTGGTACCGTATATTGAAAAAAACTTTAAACTGACAGAAATTAAGTTAATTGTGGATAAATAAGATTGAAAGAGTCTATGTAAAATTATGTACGTAGGTAGGACGTCTGCCCATGACATACATGTTTTGTTACTTAAGAAAGCTAGTTTTGCAATAAACTAGAACCTCTTCATGCCTAGATTTGCAATTTCGTAACAAACTTAATTTTAATTTTTATATCTTCACAGTAGTGTATAGATTTATATGCAGGGGCATCGCTCAAGAGATCTTTGAAATGTGCAAAAGTTCAACGTTTATGATATTTGACGCTGTGTTGGAATTTTGGGAAGTTTTAAACTGTCTAACCTTTTCTTTCTCATGAATATATGTAGACTTCAAAAAATTGTTTCCCCAGTTTTTTTAAAATTCATTTTGTGTAAATAAGCAGACAAAAATCGTTTTTGACTCATTTTATGTTTTTTTTATAAATAAATTACAAATATGATTCAATTTAGATAATTGGGAAACTGTGAAAAGGAATGACATGGTAAAGTATTATGCAAAAATAACTATATAATCTTGTAAAATATTTTTATTTTCAGAATAAAACACATAAAATTAAAATAAAATAAATAATTAATTAAATTTTAAAATTATATAAATTATAATTTAAATACAATTTTAAAAATTTTAACTTAAATTACCTATATTTAAATTTTATTTTTAAGTAATTTATAAAGTTAATGTCTGTATTAAATTTATATTACATAGGATGGATTTAAAATAAATTAAATAGATTTGAAAACTTAAAATAAAACAACTTAATACATATTAATAAAAAAATAATTTTGGTCTTTGGCAACGATAAGCCTCTCTCTTGATATAACTTGTTCTCGCTTTTTTACATAAAAAAATATAATAAGAAATAGAATTACAGTTTTATATTAAAAATTAAACGATTGGGTATTAAATATTTTATTTTTATTTTCATACTAGAGTCAAATAATTTTCCCCGTGGTCGAAAACTTGACCAAAAGGATGTATTGTGCAAACTTCTCAATTTTCACCCCACGCTGTAAATAAAACGTGATTGGAATTTCTTACATTTTGTTTTGATTTTATGTTTATATTTTTTGTAATTTTGTCACTAACATGCTAACTCATACAAGGCCCATAATAACTTTTTAAAATTGTAAATTAATTTCTTGAGTTCATTTTATTGTAAAATGGGATTTAGCACATCAAAATGGGGGTGACTTATTATTTTCAAATAGCAACTCCTCTATTTGAAGGATTTGTCAAAAGAAACGCAATGACGCAAACCCGAGGTCTCACCTCGTTGTAAGTTTAAAGGAGAAATATTCTTAATCCCAAGAATACCTATGATTTAATCCAAATTCCACCTGAGAGCCCATAGAAACTTCAGATAAAACAAAGATTAATTAGAACCCTACTCTTATTTTAAATGATTAGTATTTACAAAAATCACAAGTACAGAGAAACACGTTCTAAATTGATGTACAACATATTCCTGAAAATACACATGGTGCATTCTGTATGGCACAAAAAAAATGAAAATAAAAATTACATACTTGTGAAAACAACTAAAAAGAATTTGCTTGCAAAAAATGCCAAAAACTTATTCTCTATATTTGTGTTTATATTGTGTATGTTTCTTTAAACAAGTTTTGTTTTTAAAGAACTTTCCGCATGTGTCACACTTATAAGGTCTATCTCCAGAATGGACAAAGGTATGTTCCTTCATATTGCTCTCGTATGCGAAGCTTTTTCCACATATGTTGCACTTATAAGGTCGCACTCCTGTATGAACCAATGTATGTACCTTTAAATAGTAATTGGTTGTAAATGATTTTCCACATATTGTGCACTTATAACCTTGCCTTCCAGTGTGAATCAATCTATGATTCTTCAAATAGCTCTCGAATTTAAAGGATTTTTCACATGTATTGCACTTATAAGGTCGCACTTCTGTGTGACTCAATGTATGCCTATTCAAAACAGTTTTGGTTTTGAAAGATTTCCCACATTTATCACACATATAAGGTCTCTCTCCAGTATGACTCAATTTATGTTTCTTCATAGAATTATAGGCTTTGAAAGATTTTCCACATATAGTGCACTTATAAGGTCGCTCTTCAGTATGAACCATTGCATGTTCCTTTAAAGCCCTATTGGCTTTAAAGGATTTTCCACATTTATTGCACTCATAAGGTCTCTCTCCAGTATGAACCAATGTATGGTTCTTCAAAATTCTCTTAAATTTGAAGGATTTTCCACATGTAGTACACTTATAAGGTCGCTCTCCAGTATGGACCAATTTATGTATCCTCAAAGTGTGATTGGATGTGACAGATTTTCCACATATAGTGCACTTTGCACTATGTCGCTTTCCAGTATGGAACAATTTAATATGATTCTTTAAAACAGTTTTTGCTTTAAATGATTTTCCACATGAAGTGCACTCAAAAGGTCTCTCTTCAGTATGAGCCAATGCATGTTTCTTCAAATAGGCATTGGATGTAAATGATTTTCCACATATTGTGCACTTGTAAGGTCGCTCTTCAGTATGAACCAATGTATGTTCCTTCATACTGTTCTTGAATTTGAAAGATTTTCCACATGTGGTGCACTTATAAGGCTGCTTTCCAGTATGAACCAATCTATGTACATTCATATAGCTATTGGTTTTGAAAGACTTTCCACATATGGTGCACTTATAAGGTCGCTCTCCAGAATGCATCTTCAAATGAATTTTTACTGATTGTAGATGGAGAAATGTTTTCTCACAAACCAAACATTTAAAGGGGTGCTCACCTGTATGCTCCAATATATGATTCCTCATTTTCCACTGTGGTGAAAGTATTATCCTGCATAATGGACACTGATAAGAAAGCTTTTTAGTAGTTTTTAACATCTTTTACTTTTTACTATCTAACTTTACCCTAGTAATTAAATTAAATGACTCAACTAGTCAGTATGTTTTTTTGTCCATTAAATTTCCCTTGTATGAAGGATTTGTTAAATGTTAGGACCTTCATTCTATTTGAAGACATATCTTGCTCTAATCTTGTTACCGATGTGTATACGCCATATAGTACAATATGTATGGAGAATTTTTCATCTTTTACATGTCTTTTAAGTTCAGTTACATTACATTACTAATTATATCAAATAATTAGCTTTTATGTTGCTTTTAAAAATTTATCAAATCCTACTAAGCCTCCATAAACTTTGATTATAATTTAGGATAAATTATAGTTTTACAAAGCAACTTATTGACTTTCATTTGTTCTTTCTTCTTCTTTCTTTCTTTTTTCTTGTAGCGTCTAATAGAAAGTAAACACCTTTTTTAGCTATTGTTTAAAGTCAGAGATGATATGCAGCTTCACCGCAACAAACTTAAGTTTCTGTTCCTTATGTCTGGGATTGTCTATTGTCATTTCTGAAACAAACCATACATTATTAGACATATATATTTCATTTATTTGTTTGTTCATTTAGGATTAACTAATCGGCCAATTTATAAAATTATAATAATCGATATTAGCTCATGAATATCATGATAAAAAATCAGGATTGTTGCTTCAACCCATCTTTGCGAAGTGTGGCATCATTAAAAATGGTCTTAATGTTCTATTGAATGTAAATATACAGTGTGAGCATAAAGTGTTTTATATTGAAATGGTTTTTGGGTAAGGGTACATTCCCGAAATCAGTGCAGGTGCTCTTGAATTATTTTAGTTTTATGTCACACCAGGGACCAACGTAAATGTATTTAAAATGTAAAATGAACACACAAGTCAAATTAGGGTCACATAGTCATTTCTTACACTTGATTTTTACAAAATTGTAAATAATTTTGAAGAATTCCTCTGTTAGGATCTAATAAAAAGCTGCACTTGATGGTTTATGTAAAGGCCACTGAAAAAGGATGTTTACATAGAAAATATGTTTTTAAAAACTCCATTAAGAATAAAAGTTTGATATTTAAAGCAAAGAAGAAAGAATCTCAGGATACCCAAGATAGACGTACTGTATTTATTGGGAAACAGACAGACAGCCATAAAACTGTCAACTCTTCATCCAAAGAATTCGTCAGGGTAGGACTGAGATGTCGAGGTAAGCCTTAGCCATCTGAGTGGCTGTGTAAAGTAGTAATAGAAAATTAAACAAAGCCAATGTAAACAATACTGCTTTTCAAAGTAAATTTAGGCCCAGGCACACTGAAATCTAGCAACGGTCACGAACAGCAATGGACTTGCCCACCTAAGCCGGAAACGCACAACATGTTGCTCTTAGGATTTAGTTTCAAGAACACCATGCGTTGCTCTGAAAAAATTCAAACGTCTAGTTGAATTGAGTCCTTAAATATCATAAGTCCACCAAGTTGAGGAAATTACAGGTGTTAATGCAAGAAGAAGGTTGAATCAAGGGGCGAAGGATCGTGGATAGCTTTATAATGCAAAAACTGTGCATAGCGTTCTTGAAAATAACACTTAGTTTGGTATTATAATGTAATTTTGTATTAAGTTACACTGGGAAAATATGCACCTTGGTATGAACATAATCATTTTTAAGATAACTACAAATACATCATTCAGTAACCAATCATTCTTTCATTTTGATTACCAAATCTATATCTACTAGTGCACCTTTTGCTCGAGTTTGAGCAATTTCAAAGTATTGCAGGCGTTATTTCAAAACGAATAACAGTCATAATTTCCGATGACTTAAAAGAGTCATCTCAAAGATGATGTAAACAATCACACTCCAGTTATCAAAACTGAAAACGAACTCACTCTGAAAACAAACGCTCTTGTGTGTATATGATGTGTTTACCATGAACAGCTGTAATTAATAAGAATTATTTGTCTGTATAGGTTAACAAAATCTTTTCTTCATAAGAAATACATTGGGATTTTGATGGCCTGTGGGACGAAACCCGAGGACTAATTTTACCGGAATTTTGTCTACACAAAAAATACTTAATTTTGACACGTCGTTTGTAAAAATCTGTGCATTATTAACGGAGGAGTAGCGTTTTGTAAAATTCACCGTCACGTATTATATATACATATAGTACCTGGGGACCGAGCTTTGCTCGGGGAAAATTGTTAGTTTACTCTGAAAAGTATTGCAGATACATTAATCCACTCCCAATCTCCACACTGCTCACCTTCACTACTTACTTTACCACTCCCTACGTCGTGGACCTGTTTGCCCTCCTTCCCTATACCATTTTAGAATTGCAGATACATAAATGCCACAGACAGTTCCCACACTCTGCACTGCTAGCATTACTACTTCCTACACCATTTCCTACGTCATGGACCTGTTTTCCTCCCTTCTCGTAGCATTTTAGGATTGTAGATACCTTAATCTAATCGTCATAAACATTTCCCACACTCCGGACTGCTCACCTTTACTACTTCCTATGTCGCAGACCTCTTTCCATCCCTTCCCATAGGATTTTAGGATTGTAGATTCCTTAATCTAATCGTCATAAACAGTTTCCACACTCCAGACTGCTCGCCTTTACTACTTACTTCACCACTTCCTACGTCGCGGACCTGATTCCCTCCCTTCCCATAGCATTTTAGGATTGTAGATAACTTGATCTAATCGTTATTAACAGTTCCCACACTCCGGACTGTTCACCTTTACCACTTCCTTCACCACTTCCTACGTCGCGGACCTGTTTCCCTCTATTCCCATAGCATTTTAGGATTGTAGATTCCTTAATATAATCGTCATAAACAGTTTTCACACTCCAGATTGCTCGCATTTACTACTTCCTTCACCACTTCCTACGTCGCGGACCTCTTTCCATCCCTTCCCATAGCATTTTAGGATTGTAGATAACTTGATCTAATCGTTATTAACATTTCCCACACTCTAGATTGCTCACCTTTACTACTTCCTTCACCACTTTTTACGTCGCGGACCTGTTTCCCTCCCTTCCCATAGCATTTTAGGATTGCAGATTCCTTAATCTAATCGTCATAAACAGTTTTCACACTCCAGACTGCTCGCCTTTACTACTTCCTTAACCACTTCCTACGTCGCGGACCTGTTTCCCTCCATTTCCATAGCATTTTAGGATTGTAGATTCCTTAATCTAATCGTCATAAACAGGTTTCACACTCCAGATTGCTCGCATTTACTACTTCCTTCACCACTTCCTACGTCACGGACCTCTTTCCATCCCTTCCCGTAGGATTTTAGGATTGCAGATTCCTTAATCTAATCGTTATAAAAAGTTTCCACACTCCAGACTGCTCACCTTTACTACTTCCTTCACCACTTCCTACGTCACGGACCTGATTCCCTCCCTTCCCATAGCATTTTAGGATTGTAGATAACTTGATCTAATCGTTATTAACAGTTCCCACACTCCAGATTGCTCGCCTTTAATACTTCCTTCACCACTTCCTACGTCGCGGACCTCTTTCCATCCCTTCCCGTAGGATTTTAGGATTGCAGATTCCTTAATCTAATCGTCATAAACAGTTTCCACACTCCAGACTGCTCGCCTTTACTACTTCCTTTACCACTTCCTACGTCGCGGACCTGTTTCCCTCCATTTCCATAGCATTTTAGGATTGCAGATTCCTTAATCTAATCGTCATAAACAGTTTCCACACTCCAGACTGCTCGCCTTTACTACTTCCTTTACCACTTCCTACGTCGCGGACCTGATTCCCTCCCTTCCCATAGCATTTTAGGATTGTAGATTCCTTAATCTAATCGTCATAAACAGTTTCCACACTCTAGACTGCTCGCCTTTACTACTTCCTTCACCACTTCCTACGTCGCGGACCTCTTTCCATCCCTTCCCATAGCATTTTAGGATTGTAGATAACTTGATCTAATCGTTATTAACAGTTCCCACACTCCGGACTGCTCACCTTTACTACTTCCTTCACCACTTCCTACGTCGTGAACCTGTTTCCCTCCCTTCCCATAGCATTTTAGGATTGCAGATTCCTTAATCTAATCGTCATAAACAGTTTCCACACTCTAGACTGCTCGCCTTTACTACTTCCTTCACCACTTCCTACGTCGCGGACCTGATTCCCTCCCTTCCCATAGCATTTTATAATTTTAGATAACTTGATCTAATCATTATTAACAATTCCTACACTCCGGACTGCTCACCCTTACTACTTCCCTCACCACTCCCTATGTCGTAGTATAGACCTGTTTGCCCTCCTTCCTTATACTATTTTAGAATTGCAGATACATATAAATGCCACAGATGGTTCCCACACTCTGCACTGCTAGCCTTACAACTTCCTTCCCCATTTCCTACATCATGGACCTGTTTTCCTCCCTTCCCATTACATTTTAGGATTGCAGATACCTTAATTTAATCGTCATAAACAGTTCCCTCACTCCAGACTGCTCGCCTTTACTACTTCCTTCACCACTTCCTATGTCGTGGACCTGTTTTCCTCCCTTTCCATAGCATTTAAGGATTGCAGATACCGTAATCTAATCGTCATATAAACAGATCCCACATTCCACACTGCTACCCTTGACTATAGAATCGAGTTATCTTCAGTATAATCTTTGCTCAATAGTAACAACTGATGTTTTTTCCTTTTGTACTGTATTTTGTTTTGCTAGTATACTGTGGATAGACAAATTATTACAAGTCTTTTGTTTACTTTTTCCTTGTTATTTAATTCAGCCAACATGGTTACCTAGCAACCCATAAGACTAATGTTAAAAAAATGTGATTTTCAGTTACATTTTTCTACGTAATTAGATTTTTGTTGGCAGTTCTAATTGCAGTAAACTCGTTTTTAGGCCAGAAATAAACTATATGCAACATTTGAAGAAAATCGTCGGAGCCGTTTTCGAGATCTTGGTGCAAGCATACATACAAGCAAACTTTGCTCGTATTAGAGTATAGGATAAGGATTTTTTTTTTCAAGAATTGCTAGAAAACTCTTTATTTATGAACCAGACTTAGTTAACAGATGTTAAAATAAAAATACAATTTCCCGCTTTGCTCTTCAAGTAACAAGTCCTGCAGTCTATGGTTAAAATTTAAAACTACGTCTATAGTTGTAAACAAAGGGAATTGAGTTTTATCTTTGACTATTAATACAACAACCAAATAGTCAATGGTCTTATCTAATGTAAACAGATAGCGCTGCTGTTCCCCAACTTTAGCCCTTGGCCTTAACTGTACTTAAGTGATGCCCTTTCTTAATATTCTGAGACATATTTGCACATTTACATTTAAAAAAAAATTGTTTTTAATAGTGGTGGTATTAACGAATATACAAATTTTGATTCAATCGGTCTAAATATGGCACCGTAGAGCGTAAAAAAAGAATTAGGTACTAGATGTAGTATGTGTTCTATTTTCAGTTGAAAGTGTTTTTTTATGTCTATTGAATTTAATTGCTCGTAAACAACAAATTTGCACTG